GTACTTTCTACTTCTTACATGTTGAACTCCAAATACCTATACTTTCTACTTCTTTACATGTTGAACACAAATACCTGTACTTTCTACTTCTTACATGTTGAACACAATACCTGTACTTCTACTTCTTACATGTTGAACTCAAATACCTATACTTTCTACTTCTTACATGTTGAACACAAATACCTGTACTTTCTACTTCTTACATGTTGAACTCAAATACCTGTACTTTCTACTTCTTACATGTTGAACACAAATACCTGTACTTTCTACTTCTTACATGTTGAACTCAAATACCTGTACTTTCTACTTCCTACATGTTGAACACAAATACCTGTACTTTCTACTTCTTACATGTTTAACACAAATACCTGTACTTTCTACTTCTCACATGTTGAACTCAAATACCTGTACTTTCTACTTCTTACATGTTGAACACAAATACCTGTACTTTCTACTTCTTACATGTTGAACTCAAATACCTGTACTTTCTACTTCTCACATGTTGAACACAAAATACCTGTACTTTCTACTTCTTACATGTTGAACACATATACCTGTACTTTCTACTTCTTACATGTTGAACACAAATACCTGTACTTTCTACTTCTCACATGTTGAACACAAATACCTGTACTTTCTACTTCTCTCATGTTGAACTCAAATACCTGTACTTTCTACTTCTCACATGTTGAACACAAATACCCGTACTTTCTACTTCTCTCATGTTGAACTCAAATACCTGTACTTTCTACTTCTTACATGTTGAACACAAATACCTGTACTTTCTACTTCTTACATGTTGAACACAAATACCCGTACTTTCTACTTCTCTCATGTTGAACTCAAATACCTATACTTTCTACTTCTTACATGTTGAACTCAAATACCTGTACTTTCTACTTCTTACATGTTGAACTCAAATACCTATACTTTCTACTTCTTACATGTTGAACACAAATACCTGTACTTTCTACTCTTACATGTTGAACTCAAATACCTGTACTTTCTACTTCTTACATGTTGAACACAAATACCTGTACTTTCTACTTCTTACATGTTGAACTCAAATACCTGTACTTTCTACTTCCTACATGTTGAACACAAATACCTGTACTTTCTACTTCTTACATGTTGAACACAAATACCTGTACTTTCTACTTCTTACATGTTGAACACAAATACCTGTACTTTCTACTTCTTACATGTTGAACCCAATACCTTGTACTTTCTACTTCTTCCATGTTGAACTCAAATACCTGTACTTTCTACTTCTTACATGTTGAACCCCAAATACCTGTACTTTCTACTTCTTCCATGTTGAACTCAAATACCTGTACTTTCTACTTCTTACATGTTTGAACTCAAATACCTGTACTTTCTACTTCTTACATGTTGAACTCAAATACCTGTACTTTCTACTTCTTACATGTTGAACTCAAATACCTATACTTTCTACTTCTTACATGTTGAACTCAAATACCTGTACTTTCTACTTCTTACATGTTGAACTCAAATACCTATACTTTCTACTTCTTACATGTTGAAACACAAATACCTGTACTTTCTACTTCTTACATGTTGAACTCAAATACCTGTACTTTCTACTTCCTACATGTTGAACACAAATACCTGTACTTTCTACTTCTTACATGTTTAACACAAATACCTGTACTTTCTACTTCTTACATGTTGAACCCAAATACCTGTACTTTCTACTTCTTCCATGTTGAACTCAAATACCTGTACTTTCTACTTCTTACATGTTGAACTCAAATACCTGTACTTTCTACTTCTTACATGTTGAACTCAAATACCTGTACTTTTCTACTTCTTACATGTTGAACACAAATACCTGTACTTTCTACTTCTTACATGTTGAACTCAAATACCTGTACTTTCTACTTCTCACATGTTGAACACAATACCTGTACTTTCTACTTCTCACATGTTGAACACAAATACCTGTACTTCTACTTCTCTTCTCTCGTTGAACTCAAATACCTGTACTTTCTACTTCTCACATGTTGAACACAAATACCTGTACTTTCTACTTCTCTCATGTTGAACTCAAATACCTGTACTTTCTACTTCTCACATGTTGCACACAAATACCTGTACTTTCTACTTCTCACATGTTGAACACAAATACCCGTACTTTCTACTTCTCTCATGTTGAACTCAAATACCTGTACTTTCTACTTCTTACATGTTGAACTCAAATACCTGTACTTTTCTACTTCTCACATGTTGAACACAAATACCCGTAACTTTCTACTTCTCCTCATGTTGAACTCAAATACCTGTACTTTCTATTCCTTCTCTCATGTGGAACACAATACCTTGTACTTTCTACTTCTCACATGTTGAACACAAATACCTGTACTTTCTACTTCTCACATGTTGAACTCAAATACCTGTACTTTCTACTTCTCACATGTTGAACTCAAATACCTGTACTTTCTACTTCTCACATGTTGAACACAAATACCTGTACTTTCTACTTCCTACATGTTGAACACAAATACCTGTACTTTCTACTTCTCACATGTTGAACTCAAATACCTGTACTTTCTACTTCTTACATGTTGAACACAAATACCTGTACTTTCTACTTCCTACATGTTGAACACAAATACCTGTACTTTCTACTTCTTACATGTTGAACTCAAATACCTGTACTTTCTACTTCTCACATGTTGAACACTAATACCTGTACTTTCTACTTCTTACATGTTGAACTCAAATACCTGTACTTTCTACTTCTCACATGTTGAACACTAATACCTGTACTTTCTACTTCTTACATGTTGAACACAAATACCTGTACTTTCTACTTCTTACATGTTGAACTCAAATACCTGTACTTTCTACTTCTTACATGTTGAACTCAAATACCTGTACTTTCTACTTCTTACATGTTGAACACAAATACCTGTACTTCTACTTCTTACATGTTGAACTCAAATACCTGTACTTTCTACTTCTTACATGTTGAACTCAAATACCTGTACTTTCTACTTCTTACATGTTGAACACAAATACCTGTACTTTCTACTTCTTACATGTTGAACTCAAATACCTGTACTTTCTACTTCTTACATGTTGAACACAAATACCTGTACTTTCTACTTCTTACATGTTGAACTCAAATACCTGTACTTTCTACTTCTTACATGTTGAACACAAATACCTGTACTTTCTACTTCTTACATGTTGAACTCAAATACCTGTACTTTCTACTTCTTACATGTTGAACTCAAATACCTGTACTTTCTACTTCTCTCATTTTCCAAACAGCTGGTTCCTTTAGTCTGAATGTGTGTTTGATGCGTGATCATTATTCTTTAGAGTCATTGCGTGCCTATTGATTTGAACACGATCCGTGTATCCATCATTTCCTGGTCTTCTCTAAAGAAGAGGGACCAATGAAACGTTGTCATGTTGCCGTTGTTCAGCATGGAAACATTCATTAGCTAACAATGACATTATTGTTCTATTAATATAAAGGGAGGTCAGGTACTCTTTAAAGCAGCTGCTAGCTATGGGTACTTTTTACTTAAGGACATTTCAAAGCCTCTTTACTTTTACTTGAGTAAAGAAGTTTAGTCAGTACTTCTACTTTCACCAGAGTATTTTTAAACACGAGTATCTGTACTTCTACTTGAGTAAAGGATGTGTGTGCTTTTGCCATCTCTGAGCTGACAGATGTTCGCAAACCGAGACACAGCATTTGTGTTACAGCTTCCCAGCTCCTCAACCAACTTGCTTTAACTATAAGATGCATAAATGTACAGCTATGTTTGTTTAGTTTCTTGTGGAGTTAACGTGCTCTGTAGTGCTCTGACTATCCAGCAGATTATCACAGCAGACAGTCGCAGCACAAAACCATTAGATGTGAAATTACAGCCGGCTGCTGCTCTGATAATGTCTGCTTGTGTCTGACAGTCAGGCGGCTGATATCCATCATTAAAAGGCTCCAGTGGTTCTGAACGAGAGGAAGAGTCTCCGAACTCTGAGATAGATGAGAAACCACTCATATAATCCCATAAATGATTGGCTTTGCAGACAGACGAGAGGCTCCAATGACAGCCTTTAAGGACTGAGAAAACGTCAGATTGATGAAGTGCATTCCCGTATATTATACATTTTTCATAAACTCAGTACGTCAAGAATTCGAGAAATAATGGTCTAGTACAATAAAATAAATACGACATTATGTAATCATTAAAGGCAAATTGTACGTGTGTAGCTTGATCATGTTTGCCTCGTTTGAGTCTCTAATGATCATGTATTGAATACTTTTGGGTGTTAAAGTTAAGTTTAAGCAAAAAACATTAATAGTTAATAATCACCAGATCAATACAACAAGGACATAACTGCTCATAAAAAGTTCAAATGTACACATTTGTTTTATTATCTTAATTAAAATGTCTTAATGTCACATGTTAGTACGCTAGGCTTCCACTCCCACTGCTATTTATTTATTTATTATCTGCCCTACTTGTTTGTCTGTCCTTACACCTTGTAAAGCGGCCTTGGGTCCCTTGAAAGGCGCTATAAAAATGTAATCTATTATTATTATTAGGCTACTTCTACTCTGACTGAAAGCTCAGACTAACAGCAGGCACCAATGTACATTTCTCAAAGATATTGAAGTGACTTTATTTTGTATTGATTGATTGTTGTGCTTTTATTTAGGTCTTAATGTGTGAATATGTAAAAATGTGTCTTTGATTGTGTTGATAAATATTTATATATATTTGTTTTTGTATTCTGGATTGTGGGAAACGGTATTTCGATCTCTCTGCCTGTACACACAAACTGAAAGATTGACTCTAAAGTTGACTTTCACTTTTGACTTGACTAAAGGCAGTATTGAGGCATGTACAAAAAAAAACGTTGGGTAACTCGTCTGACTTTAGTTTTCAAGGCGTAGAAGACCCTAAGCGGCAGAAGGTCTCGGGGCTATTTACATCACGAGGAAAACATGTGGTTCTCACCCCTAACACCGCCATGCGTCGGCTGGGGGGGGTGCAGCGGCCCGGCTCTTCCTGCGGTTGTGCGGCCGACAGTGTTAGCTCCTCATCATGGAGAGACTCTCATTGGAGCCTGGAACAGAGAGAGAAAGAAAGAGACACAGCTGTTAGCGGGAGATGTATTCTCAAATCACAATGGTGTTGTTAAAATGCTGGTTTAACAATATCAAAAGTATTGATAAAAGTACTTTTCGGAAAGAATACGGTATTTCGATCTCTCTGTCTGTACACACAAACTGAAAGATTGACAATAAAGTTGGCTTTGACTTTAACCAGTTCAGAATTGACGGGGTTCAACAATTCATTGGTTGTTCCCCAGAAGAAAAAATCAATGAAGAACAAAATCAATTCAACAGCACTCAACTGTTTTAACTCCTCTAGACAAACCATTCATACTTTCGTCGTTTTCTGCACCCAAAAAAATACAATTGTATACTTTTACTTGCAGCCAATCACTGCAAACGCTCTCCGTGCTTCCATAGAAAAACTAACAGGAGGGTTGGTGGTGGTATTTGGCACAACTGAATGCTTCTATTCACATGATGTGTAGAAAATGAAGTATAATATAGTTAAGGCCATCAAATGAAGTGCTCTATTGGTAGTGGCATCACTTTCAGGGTACTGGTAGTGGTGTACTAATATCGTACATTTGTGGGACGATGCCCAGCACTGCCACAAACTGGACTGGCTCTGTACACCTTAACAAAAAACTCTCAGAGGTTTGTTTCATAAGGGTCATGCACTGAGTTGTTTCTCAGTACAAGAGCTGAAACTAAAGATTTAGTTTGTAACATAAAACCCCAATAAAATACCAAATTGCGGTTATTACATCTCTAATTTTTTGCACAGATTAAATACAGAAGAAATAGTTAGTTCATTTGTGAGCTTTAGATGCAGACGTTGTTTCCAGTCATTTCCATACTTAGTGATATCAGTCCTTATTTAACTCCCAGCTAAAAAGAGATCAATGATTTCCAAACACATGGGACTTTTTGCTTTATCAATTTGAACGAAAAATAAACCTACCAAGAGTCAACCGGCCATAGAAACTCAAAGGAATACATCCTGCACTGAAACACCCCCACTGTTCGATTCAGGAGAAAAATGCATGACAGAGAGAACACAAGAAGATGATCTCAAAGCAAAAGTTAAATACTGAACAGTGTTTCTGTCCTCCGCAGAGGGCAGAGACTTCAGCCTTGACTCGCGCTGCCACCACGTGTGTGATTCATGATGTAATTGTTGGAGTCCGACCACTCACAGGGGAAGAGCAAGGAGAACACCTACCACTGTCTCCTCATCCTACACACACACACACACACACACACACACACACACACACACACACACACACACACACACACACACACACACACACACACCACACACACACACACCACACACACACACACTACACACACACACACACACACACACACACACACACACACACACACACACACACACCACACACACACACACACACACACACACAACCACACACACACCACACACACACACACACACACACACACACACACACACACAGTCTACCTCTGTCTGCTCATCAGACCTTGAAATTAGCCCAGTTAGTCGACAGAGATGAAATGTGGCGACGTCTGATGAGGACACACACAAACATTGTACTGCTAATCACACACACACTCTGTACTGCTGAGAACACACACTGTACTGCTGAGGACACACACTGTACTGCTGAGGACACACACTGTACTGCTGAAGACACACACTGTACTACTGAGAACACACACTGTACTGCTGAGGACACACACTGTACTACTGAGGACACACACTGTACTACTGAGGACACACACACACACACTGTACTGCTGAGGACACAGTCACTGTACTGCTGAGGACACACACACACACACACACACACTGTACAGCTGAGGACACACACAGTACTGCTGAGGACACACAGTACTGCTGAGGACACAGTCACTGTACTGCTGAGGACACAGTCACTGTACTGCTGAGGACACACACACACACACACACACACATTCTGTACTGCTGAGAACACACACACTGTAAAGGATGCACACTCTGTACTGCTGAGGACACACACACACACACACACACACTGTAAAGGACACACACACACACAGTACTGCTGAGGACACAGTCACTGTACTGCTGAGGACAGTCACTGTACTGCTGAGGACACACACACACACACACACACACATTCTGTACTGCTGAGAACACACACACACTGTACTGCTGAGGGCACACACACACACACACTGTAAAGGACACACACTCTGTACTGCTGAGGGCACACACACACACACACACACACACTGTAAAGGACACACACTCTGTACTGCTGAGGGCACACACACACACACACACACTGTAAAGGACACACACTCTGTACTGCTGAGGACACAGTCACTGTACTGCTGAGAACAGTGACTGTACTGCTGAGGACACACACACACACACACACACACACACACACATTCTGTACTGCTGAGAACACACACACACTGTACTGCTGAGGACACACACACACACACACACACACACTGTAAAGGACGCACACTCTGTACTGCTGAGGACACAGTCACTGTACCTACCACACACACACTTTCTCAATGTCGAGTAGAGCTGCTGCAGAGCCACTTTCAAGTATACTGTGGCGCCGTAGGACAGTTTGAAATGCCCAGCATTCGGCGCCACTCGATGACATCGTATACTTGATAGTGGCTCTGCAGCAGGTATACTCGACATTGAGAAACGGTCACAGCTGCCTGTTAGTTGCTGGGCTTCACAGATGTTTTCATGACGCCTCCGACTCTGTGATGTAATGTTTTATTGTGTGCCGTGTTGGGGTTGATTTGAGGTCATGTTCACACCGAGGAGACTGAGGAGTGTTTCCTCTTTCTGTTGGTCTGCCCTGACAGGTGTGGGAACAAAAACGGTCCGCACTAACAGCAGGAAACAACCCCGAGATGATGAAGGGTGAGAGGATGAGGAGACGGATGTTGACGTCTGCTGTCATTCTGTTGCTTGTGCTTGAAAAGCTTGACGTGTATAAGGGGCAGCTGCCAGATCAACATAGGTGGAAGAAGCAAGAATAAAACAAGCAAGAAACGGTCATTTGATAATTACAAATCTCTCTAAATCAGCAAAACCAGCTCATGATTGGACTCCCTTGCGTCATGTTTTGCCTTGTGGGGATACTAGCAAATGGTGAGATCAACTTAATAAAATGTTTTTGGGCTTAAAAATGTATTAAGCTGAAGAATTAACAGAATTAACCTCCATGACATCTTGCAATAGCATCAGACAAAGCAAACGACAACAAAATCGGGCCATTTTCTACTTATTTTTGCACATTATTTTTGTATATTTTTGTCAGTTCTGGCGAAGGTTCTTGAACGCCTAGTGAGTGAGCAGGTAAAGGTGTTTTTATGTAACAATGACATCCTGTCTAAGCATCAGTCAGGCTTCAGAAAGCAACACAGCACCATCACTGCCACAATGAAAGTGGTGAATGATATTACGAGTATTTTAGATATAATACCTGTCCAAAGCTTTTGACACCGTCGATCATCGCATTTTGAAGCAGAGGCTGGTCAGTATCGGCATGTCCAGCCATGCAGTGGGTGGTTTGTAAACTACCTCTCCGAAAGGTCCCAATGTGTTCACTTTGATGGGCTGTCTTCTGAGTGGTTAAACATCACTAATGGTGTACCACAAGGTTCAGTTTTAGGTCCGCTATTATTCTCTATCTATATTAATAGTTTAGGTGAAAATGTCAAAGGAGCAACCTTACATTTTTATGCGGACGATACCGTGATGTACTGTGCAGGTCCCTCGATTAACGAGGCTGTTGTTAAATTACAGGCTGTTTTTAACATTATTCAGGCTCAGCTCTCTGAGCTTAAGCTTCTTTTAAATGTGGATAAAACCAAGGTAATGCTCTTTCTAAAGCTAAAGCTAAAAATACACCGGAGACTGTTTTAGATATTGTAACTACGCAAGAAATACAACTTGAAGTGGTTACCTGTTACAAATACTTGGGTATCTGGCTTGATGACTGTCTCACTTTTAAACTTCATGTCAATAACCTGCTTAAAAAGCTGAGGGTTAGGCTAGGTTTCTTTTACAGAAATAAGTCCTGTTTCTCGCTTGAGGCCAGGAAAAGGCTCTGTGACCTTTTTACCTGTGCTGGATTATGGTGATTTGTTATATATGAATGCACCTGCCCATTACCTGAGCAAGTTAGATGCTGCGTATCACAGTGCACTGAGATTTTTGACAAATTGTAAAGCACTTACGCATCACTGTACCCTGTATACCAAGGCGGTTATGCCATCACTTACTGTACGGAGGCTCAGTCACTGGTACTTTTTCATTTACAAAGCCATGTTGGATAAACTACCATCTTATATCTGCTCCCTGATCTCTCAGCGAATTGAAAGTACTTATTGCCTGAGATCGCATGCTGTGGTTTTATTAAATGTGCCAAGTGCTAGGACTGTCTTAGGGAAGAAAGCTTTTAGATGTGCAGCTCCACTAACATGGAACAGTCTGCAAAAAGAATGGAAAATTACCAAGCTAGTACCACTACATGTTTTTAAAGCTCGGTTGGATGTTACAAAATCAGATGCTGTTGGTACCTGTACATGTGGTTAAATATGTAAATTGTAATCCCTGTACATTTTGCTGTATGATGTCCTTTTGTTGTTTATGTTTTTATGTCTTCTTGTGGAACCTACTGCTGCAGGTCTCCCTTGAAAAAGAGATCATTGATCTCAATGGGATTTTACCTGGATAAATAAAGGTTTTGAATTGAATTGTATCATGTCTTAGGTATTTTGATGTTGCATTGTTTTGAGGCGCCTGGGTCTTATCTTAAAGGGCCCATGTCATGCTTTTTCTGGTTATTACCCGTCCCCTTGTGTTTTATGTAGCATTTTCTGCATGTAAACGGTCTGCAGAGTCACAAACCCTCAAAGTGCACCCTGTAGCGAGTAAAACTAACACAGAAAATACGTGTCTATGCTGCCCCAAAACGCCTCGTCTGAGATTTTTAGATTCTTCTGCGTACCAAGTGACATAACGACGACCCAAATGGACCAATCCGTGGAGCTCCTCACACACCAGGATCCCTTGGCGTCACTATCAAACGCAGTGGGGGGACCTTTAGCGTCGAGCATAGAGCTCCCTGAACGTTGGTAATAGACGAGTTGGGATCGCGGAGAAACACTCACGCAGCCGTCTCATTTCTCAGCCGCGATACTCCGGAGTTTCGCCGGCACACTCAGCTTTATCTTTTCTCAGCCGCAGCTGCATGGATCTCCATTCACAGTTCGCCACACACTCGTGTGTGTGTGCTCAGGCTGAGTTTCGCCGTGTCTCACTGTCTCGCAGACCCCACGCAGCATTCTCATCCGTTTGTCATCACTGGTGTCATTTTCTGGTTGCTAACAAACGCCATTGTAACACAAACACACATCAGAGCACAGTTGGCTCATATTGAGGGGGGGCAGGAGCTCCAACAAGCCGTTTAGGACACAGAGGGAATACACATACTTAACAGAGATGCTGTTTGAGAAACCAATGTGAGTTTGGAAAATTGCACAATGTAAATATATTCTAGTAGACCTCAACAATGGAATTATGATCAGTAGAAATGGCCATGACATGGGACCTTTAAGACTTCATTGCCAAACTAGGCTGTAGCTATTGTGCAATAAAAATAAGGCTTTTAAAATCATGAATCTCTCCACTTTCTCATCCCACACTTCTGGCTCTCTTACTTAGACCAAATCTGTAAAGTTTTGTAATATCAAACAAGCCCAAGGTTCTAAAGTTGTATCGCAGTGACAGAATATATGAACACAATGGCTTTAGTGGTGGTTTCGGCTATACAGATGTGTCAGAAGCACATTTTGGTCACACACACACACTCATTTCTGAGATTCCCCTCCTCGACTCCTATCCTCGAGACTTAGCCCCGGCCACAGGAGATGCGAGCGGAGGAGCCGAGGAGGGGAGCCGAGGAGAGAGGAGGGGAAGCAGCAGGCGGTTAGAGTCATTTTAAAGAGACGTCAGGAGGCACAGCAGCCCTCTGTCTGATGGACAGATGTGTTCATGATGACTTGTATTCATTCACAGTGCGGTATAATGAGACAACAGGCTACAGATGCGGACATACACACACATTTCAGAATCAAACAAGTATGAGAGCACTCATAACGTAACACTATCAGAGACTGGATATATCCCCCCCCCCCCCTCTGGTCGCTGAAATTAGGAAAATAAATTACGGGCCAAAAGTTGTATTTACAAGTATTAAAAGTAAGCAGAGGACACCAAACCAACTGAGACCTGTCTGTCCTCCGCATCTACGCACTGTACAACACACACACTGTACCACACACACACTGTACCACACACACCTACACACTGTACAACACACACCTACACACTGTACCACACACACACCTACACACTGTACCACACACACACACTGTACCACACACACCTACACACTGTACAACACACACACACCTACACACTGTACCACACACACATACAGCTCCTAAAGCATAATCAGGCTACAGCCGTTGTGTATTTTATTATGTGAAGCACTAAATGGTTTTAGAAAAATATCGACTCTGTTTGTAGATATCTACTAAACTAAAGCAAATAAAGAGAGTAGGCCTGTTATACTGAGTGATATATATTATACACACTGCTCTGCTTTCTGCACGGACCTCACAGATGTTCTCTCTGTAAACATCGCGTAGTGATGAAAGCAGTTAATAAAATAATATCCAGGGGATGCATGCAGAGCTGTCATTGGCTGAGATAAGTCACGACTCTTTGAAACATCACTGTTGCCGGAAATGCATCCGCAAGGAACCGTGGAGGATGCATCAGTGTCTCCTCGGTTATAGCTCCTCCAGAGAGCCTCCTCGATCCTCGGTGTGCATTTAGAGAAATGAGATGTCCTTCAACATGGCGCGCTGAAATTCATTTCCGGGTCACTACCGGAGGACCGAGGAGTCGAGGAGGGGAAATCTTTTAAATGAGATACGGCCAAAGACTCACAAGCTTAAAAGACAAAGCGTGGACAACCATGCTTCGTTAAATGTCAAATTAAAATGCATAATTATTTGAATGACTAGTTCCTTTTAAATATCACCACAACAATCAGAAACAGAAGATTAGACCCATTAGGAGACAAATTGTCCACATATTTGCGCTGTATTCTTGTGAGTCAACTTGTACTGTAAGTTTACATTTAAATAAAGCAAATATTAAAATGTAACAAAGTCTACTTTGAGCTCTGATTTCTTTGGTATTTGGGCAGCATCAACATACAAAAAAACACCAGAGATTCAGATCTTTGCTTATGAAAAATATATGTTCAGATTCTGTCTTTTGCAGCAGATATGGTGTTTCATACCTCATTCACAGCAACAGTGTTTCAGGGCCGGTTCGGAGCTGGAGCTTGAAAAGCACCGGGTTTTCCTGTTCACACCGCAGCGGAGCAGCCTCTTAGCTCCGGATCCGGTTTGTTTCAAGCACCAAAAAATTGTCCGACCAGATCAAAAGCTCCACATACGTCACGCTTACGTCGAGGCGGGGGCAGAGACAGATCAACTCCTGAACAACAACAAAAAGCCCGCGTTGTATCCAGTTTGTACAACGATGGAGTATTAACAAGAGTTTCAGTGTTTCTGCCATAGACTGTATAAAGGTTTCTGCTCATGGTGAAGCAACGTGTCTGCGTGTTAAGGTGGAACCTGAGCATTCACGTTGATCACCTCTCATTATAACTCATTATAAATCTATAAAACTAAAAATATTAAACTTTAATTCACGTGTTCATTTGAGAACAGCTGTTACATACCTGGGTGAAGGTTACAGTTCATTTCAATGAAAGATACAACGTTACTCCACACTCATGGTTCAGTCCACCTTAAGAAATAAGACCGACCTCGGAAGCAGTTGTGTTTTAAAAAAAACCTTTATTGAGACGAGTACACTTTTTTATAAGAATATAACTAAACCACAGAAATGACTCCGGAAAAGCTGCAGATAGAGCCATAAGAAATGAATGCAACTGATTTCATCCGCGCGGTTTGGCCAGAGCCCCAGAGACATAAGAGTTACGACACTCCCATAGACCTCCGTTGTAAAAAATGGCGGCGCCTACTTCCGGGGTATGGACATCGAAATAGTTCCGAATATTGTCATTTGGGCGTTGAACCTCATTCACTTACATTACGGCGCGTCGATTAGTTCCAGAGGTAAGTTGCTGAAATATCGAACTCTTTTGAATTGTCAACTGTCTATATTGTATCAGAGGCCCTTTATGATGCTTATACTGGTCTTCATTTGTATATGCACAGCGTAATTATCTATATTTTATCTTGGTTGTTATAACCAATTTTGCTAGCATTGCCTGCTAGTTAGCTAGCGCGACTTCGTCAGCTTTGAAGGTAAGATTTTATGGGCTCAGAACAGTCTCATAATACACACATGCACACAGAAGGATTCAAACTTGTATTTCCGGATCCATACTTGTGTTTTTCAATGCACACACAAATGTATTCCGTTTCATATACATGTAAATAAAATCCAAATACAGAAAAAAGTTTTACATATGTATTTTTGATCCTCACTTATTAGTTTCCCGTTTAAATCCTCTGAACCTGCAAACACAAACAGCTTTCTGTGCACGGATCGCTTTGCATTCGTGTGTGGGTTTTTTGAGACTCCCCTGACGGTCAGCCGATTCGTACTTGTAATTTTTTCTATCTATAGCCAATCAGATGTCTCCTTCATTCTAAGCCAATCACATGAGCGCGCCCCCACAAGGGTAAGATTACTTCATATACGCATTTTGCGCAGTCCGGTCAGCTCGCTAAACAGAGGGCGGAGCATCAGGTGATCATGCAGAGCATCGTGTCTCCATCAGACTCAGCAGCTGATCTGATCTCTCTCTCGCGTCCGGTTATACTTCACTCGCGTTTATGTCCATATCGATCAGATCCAGCTCTCCTGATCGGCCTTTATAGATAGCACCGATCAAACTATTAAGAATATCGGCCGATAATGACCGGCGGGGCTCCCCCCAGTTAACAGGTCACTGTCTAGCACTGGCTTCGTAGTGCACTGATCGATTAGGCTAAGCTAACCTGTAGCTGCTCCCTCCACACTCACAACAACTTCATACAGACATAAATAAAGCAGCTGTATTCGTCACACAGGAAACACACATTTAAAACGGTTTTGCCTGCCGTTTTTGTGTACACAAGCATTCATCAATGGTTCGGAAAGTGGCACTGTACCTTGATAATATAAAGGCTTGTATTTGCGTGCATTTCCTGTTCGGAAAGTGGCGCTGTACTGAGAGTGGAGGGTGTCCTGAGATTAGCCGGACTGCGCAAAATGCGTACATGAAGCGCTACGTCATGAACGCAAGAAATCTACCCTCGTGGGGGCGCGCTCATGTGATTGGCTTAGAATTGAGGAGACATCTGATTGGCTATAGATAGAAATAATTACAAGTACGAATCGGCTGACCGTCAGGGGAGTCTCAAAAAACCCACACACGAATGCAAAGCGATCCGTGCACAGAAAGCTGTTTGTGTTTGCAGGTGCAGAGGATTTAAATGGAAAACAAATATGTGAGGATCAAAAATACATATGTAAAACCTTTTTCTGTATTTGGATTTTATTTACATGTATATGAAACGGAACACATTTGTGTGTGCATTGAAAAACACAAGTGTGGATCCGGAAATACAAGTTTGAATCCTTTTGCGGATCATGAAATACAAGTGTGAATCCTTCTGTGCGCATGTGTGTATTATGAGACTGTTCTGAGCCCATAAGATTTCAGTAATGAATCGCTAGCAGCTTATATATCAATGATGCTGGGTAACTAACAAGCAGGATTTAGATTGATTATGTGTTTTTATTGTTATTTTGGTTTTTATCCTGAACCTGATCGTGTCAGCCATCCTTAGTCGGCTTTTTCTGTATGATATGACTTAACTGCTAGCACTAGTAGAAATGAGGTGGCGTTTGTGATAAATATTTCATTTAATTGAATTTTGGGATATACTAACATTTCATTATGTGACATGTTGACTGTACTTAGTTTTTTTTGTACTGTTCCGTGTTAACTCATCTGTACTGTACAACTAGCGCTACCTTTTAATGCTTGATGGCATGCTAGGATAGATTCCTTTGTATTGTAATATACACACTAGTTTAATGATTGTTCTTCAAAGGTATTATTCAGTCTTAAACAAATAATAGCCTACTGAACAGGCTACTCTACAGCAGTGAATGAAGGATGAGCCTAAAACATGGTCATGCATCCAAAATGTTTATTTTTAACAAAATAAGCACTTAAAAAAATAATAAGCACTTTTTTTTATTCAGCGTCATATGTCAGCCATGGCTGTTGCTGTTGGCGGAGGCTGATGGTGCTGAAGGAGGGTGCTGCTGCTGGAGGAGGGTGCTGCTGCCGGAGGAGGGTGCTGCTGCTGAAGGAGGGTGCTGCTGCTGGAGGAGGGTGCTGCTGCTGGAGGAGGGTGCTGCTGCTGGAGGAGGGTGCTGCTGCTGGAGGAGGGTGCTGCTGCTGGAGGAGGGTGCTGCTGCTGGAGGAGGGTGCTGCTGCTGGAGGAGGGTGCTGGTGCTGAAGGAGGGTGCTGCTGCTGGAGGAGGGTGCTGCTGCCGGAGGAGGGTGCTGCTGCTGAAGGAGGGTGCTGCTGCTGGAGGAGGGTGCTGCTGCTGGAGGAGGGTGCTGCTGCTGGAGGAGGGTGCTGCTGCCGGAGGAGGGTGCTGCTGCTGAAGGAGGGTGCTGCTGCTGGAGGAGGGTGCTGCTGCTGGAGGAGGGTGCTGCTGCTGGAGGAGGGTGCTGCTGCCGGAGGAGGGTGCTGCTGCTGAAGGAGGGTGCTGCTGCTGGAGGAGGGTGCTGCTGCTGGAGGAGGGTGCTGCTGCTGGAGGAGGGTGCTGCTGCTGAAGGAGGGTGCTGCTGCTGGAGGAGGGTGCTGCTGGCAACGGCTGCAGGTGATGACTGCTGAAAGAAGAGGAGGCTGGAGGCTGCTGACGGTGGACCGGGAATGGAGATGCCAAGTACATCGATGGCAACGAGTAAGGTGTTTGGCAGTGGCCTAGATGTTATGACCTTCGGGGCAGAGGTCTGTTGGGTCTTCTTTGCCTTCTTACTCTGACTCTTGCTGCCAAGATACCCTTTATGTTTATCCTTCCTCTCAGCCCTGATGCACTTTGATGCAATCCTTAACCTCAGCCTGATGTATGTTGAGAGGATTTTTTTTCTTCAGGTCATGGCATGAGGGAAGGTTGCTGTCCAGCAACATGGCTTCTTGTTCCAGCTGTGACACTGCATTTGAGGCCTCCATGAGGGAATCGCTCGTCCTCACACAGAACAGCTGCTCCACGTTCTGATCAAGGGAGAAAACCTCATCAGATGGACGGTAAAGTGCACCCCTTTTAAATTATTTTAATACCAGCAGACCAGCTCTCTCATTTTCACCATCACTGACATTTTTCACTAGGGCACACTGGCATTTGTCACAAAGTGAGAAGCTGATGACCCTTTTCACGATGTATCCTGCAAGGTGGTATAGCACACAGGACTCGGTTTTAGTGATGTCAGGTGGTGTTGTCAGGTCTACCAGCTGCTCCACTCTCAGAACGTCAGGAGGACTGCAGCTGCTGTTCTGCATGTCCAGGAAGTCTGCCAAGTGGCCTGATCCATCCTCCACGTAACTGCCAGTATGCACTGGCGATAGGAACTGGCCCACGGTGACAGCGCGCAGTGCATATTGGAACTCTACAGGTGTTGGGACAGAGTTCCTCAGACGAATGGACGAAAATGTGTTTTCCAGGCAGTCTTGAGTGAAGCGGCTTGTGAGAACAAATTTGTGCCCTTGTCTCAACAGGTCATGCTGGACCTCCAGGATTGTTGTTGTGGCCATCACCAGTCCTGTCTGGACTGGTTTCCAGCTGCCCTTGGGACCGATCTTCAGGCCCCGAAACAGATGGATGGAGTCCCGGAGGAAGCTGATGGCCTTATCATACATCATCTGTCTCACTCTGTCTGTTATGTCCCTTTCATTCCCTTGGAACTCCACCTCAATATCTCCCTGAATCTCTGTAACAATAACAAGGCAATCTTGCTGTTATATGTGTATGCTGCCTTTACACGTGCACCTATTGTCATTAAAGGGTACACTACACTCCTATAGTGACATTCATCTAAGTTCGTCTATTGGCAATGTTAAAGTATGAAAAAATCTGTAGATGATCTACATGTGGTATATGAGTCTTCAGAGAATCCCTGAACCCTGGTAGTTTTGAAGCTGTATAATCTGAAGGTTGCATTAGGAGTGTAGTCTATCCTTGAATTATATAACATGGGAAACATTGTTAGCTTCATATATCATACCAATGTTTGATGTGCCATAATAGCTGTGGTCATCATTCCTGACAGCTGGAGGCATACTCCTTGACGTGGATTTCCTCCTTTTCGGCTTAGGCCGATGTATAAATATTGTTGGAACAGCATCTGGCCTCAACCTCAAATTTCCTCCTGATTTGTTGCCAATATATTGGTCGTCTTCAAAGTGTACCTGTAGGTAGGTAGGTTTCATCAGTTTCCACTGCACACTTCAAATGTCATTGTAGAGTCATAATTCTCTACACTTGGAAATATGATGCCCTTTAAAATGTGAACAAGTCATGTCACCTCTGTGGACATTACTTACATGACAGAGTTTTCTGCTGTTGTTGTCCTCTGTCAGACACAGGTTTTGTCTGTTGACCATTGCCATCCATCTCTTCCTTGGCTCTACGTCCTTAGGGAAGCCATACACCCGGAACCCATTCTCGTATTGATTAGAGCATCCAAATGCTGCACATCCAACCATGGTATGACAACTGATCTATTAAAATGCAATATAAACGAAAGTGCCATAATATTTGTTGTGCAAACATTTTAACATGAATATTGCTATGTCCTCTATTCAGTCTGCTCCCAACTGTATTCTCTCCCCTTATTCACCACTGTTCCTATTCTTGCTCTGCTTTTTAGGGCCCAGGAAACAGATGAAGAGGATGTCCCTTTCACAAAGGAACCTTTTTGTTTTTTTCAAAATGGTTAGGCTCCTGATGCCCTAGAGTTCTGTATTGCTTTTTTATAAATAGTTGCTTACCCTAACCCTTTTTTGTAAATAGTATTGCTTTTTTATAAATAGTTGTTTGTAAACATGGTTCAACAGGAGCTTCTGTAAATAGTTTGAATATTTATCATAGTAATCATTTTCAGTCTCCCACTCTGTCTCAATTTAATTTATCGTTTCTTTGCCCCACCATATGTGTTGCTGTCCAAGGGCACTAATTTGGTCTGTGTTGAAGATTGTTTTACACTTTAGATTAATCAAAATTGTGTTTTTTGGCTGAATTAATCTTTTTCTGTTGAACCCTAACCCTCTGTGTTCTCCTTCTCATTCATTTTACTTTGTTTTGTTCTAACACACATCACTTTTTCCATACACTGTTCTTAATACTTGTTCACACATGTGTTCGTCCCTTTTACTTTGTTCTTCCTGTTCTTCCTGTTCAAACACATATATCAATTGTTCATCCGCTGTTGTGGTAAAATGATATTCATAGTCTTAACATGATCATGCTACCCATGCTAACATGAACACAAACGTTTCCCTCCAAAAATGTAAAACGTATCTAAGTAATAGGCTACCAAGCTTTCCGTTGTCACCCTGCCTCTCCAAATGCAAAACTGTCAATAAAAAGCATGCAATAATGCAATTACAGCTGAAAAAGTACTTGGGTGTGTGTGTTTTTTTTATATATATGTACCATTCAATAACGCAATCGCTGCTGTCTGTCTGTCCCATAGAAGAACATGACAGCGCAGCGCAACTATACTACGGACGTGACTGCCCTGGCAGTGACAGCAACATAGCCTGCTTGTGCTACCACACTTTCCCCTCAAAATATCGTTAACTAACGAAACTTGTAAATAGTGCCAATCCATACAAAGTGTAACCACATCATGTAAATATGAAAGCAATTATTAAAAAATAACAGCGTTGGTTTAATTTATGACTATTTTGAGCATGTTTGTGCTGTTTTTGCCATAGAGAAGCATTGCCACGGAAGTGCGTTTGGAACTGTCCCGGCATACATAAACCACGTGACCGGCTGGCGGCGACATCAAAGAGTGTCGTAACTCTTATCTCTAGGGCTCTGGGTTTGGCTTTATGAAGCAGGCACGCAAACGGTTACGTCATGACGCAAACGATGACGCAACGACACATTACCAGTCGGAGTCTGGGCGGTGTGAAAAGAGCCAGAGCTAAACCGAAGAACTGGTTCTGAACCTGAAAAGCTCTAGCACGGAGCTTGAATCGGAGTTGCGTTGGTGTGAATGAGGTAATAGAGATCTTTAACCACTGCTGGACAACTAGAAAGAAAACAGAAGGCAAATAAATATATGTAAAAGATGTTGCATGAAAGTAGCAGCCTGTGAGTTCAGCTGAGCGGCTGCAACCATGGTCATCTGAGGACAGAGAGAGAGTAAAGAGGCAGTCTGCACCCACTGAAACACAAGGCTACTCTCACAGATACTAAGATATTAGAGACATCCTGACAGTCAAATGGTTTTAGACACATGCCATTAAACGGTCTCTGTTAATCAGCCCTCATTTCCTGCAAGTATCAACTGTCAGTCTAATAAAGGCAACAACTATATAATAAAGCAGATATTAGGAAACCAGCGTATTTCACTGCAGTGAAACTCTCCTGGAAATAGGAAAAGGTCAATGGTATAGCTTGCAGAGCGTGTAACCATGTAAATATGTTTTCTAAAGAAAAGGCAAAAGCTTCTGTTGTCTCTCACATCCATTTGTGAATGTCTTCTTGAAATTATGTTATCGCTCTGCAGACAGGGGCTTATTTACACGTTTCTTTTTTTTTGTTTTATAAATTGGTTTTATGGGGGGGGGGGGCGCAACAGCGGTAATTCAAGTTTCAAAGTCTCAAAATGCTACAACTACTGTCACAAACTGGATGAATGTGAAGTATTGTGTTAAAGGAGGATGAAAGCGTAATTAAGGAGCACTATTGGAGTGACTTTGATGGTTATTGGACTCAGGGTTAATTCATTTGGATTCCCGCTGTATGAAGAAATTAAAGGACGGCGCAAGTGGAAACAATTCACAAAGGGATTAAACTGTTTAAAACACATGCTCAAAGTAAGCCGGATTTTGCCGATGTGTTTATGTGGATTCAAAAGTCGTAAATAATCTACAAAATGGAGGAGACCGATCTGATCGGAGCAACTGTGACAAATAATCCAACTGAAACCGGCATGGACAATGACTATGTTTTAAAAATGCGCTTATCCAGAAAAGCCTGGTTTGGACACTTTACGGGCGGAAGAAACATTTATATTAAAGAAAGAATTATACATCTGTCTTTTTATGCCTATAATAGTAATAGTAGTCAACTAACTTGAATTGTTATTAAAATTAAATCAATTATTTTTTATATTGTTATTGTAATGTAGAGACAAGGCTTTTAGCGACAATGTATTGCGTTACAATATGTAATAAAAAACACATTAACATTTAAAAAAAAAAAAAAAGTCTAAATATGATATTTGGCCTCAAATCATCTGAGGCCTGGCGATCTTTGACGCGCCCCCCAGGTTGGGGGCCACTGATCTAGGGCAGGGGTCGGGAACCTCCGGCCCGTATACGGCCTGCGAGACCATTTCGAGGTAATTTATAAACACACGCAAAAAAAAAAGAATTATCCAAATCTAGACCGCAAAATAATTAAACAAGCGAATGCCTGTTTTTCCTGTTTTTCCTGGCCAAGGTCAGGGTCCATGAAAACGCTTCTTTTTTTTTAGACCTTTATTTAACCAGGTGATCCCATTGAGATCATCGATCTCTTTTTCAAGAGAGACCTGTCCAACATGGCAGCAAGTAGGTTACAACATGAACATAAAACAACAGAACACAAAAGGACATCGTATTTACAGGGCTACATGTACATACCTAGAGACATTGACAAGTACCAACAGTATATTTATATCTCGCCCTGTCAATAAGCCTCACCTTCTTGGCAAAAACTGTATTGTTTTTGAAGTGGTGGAGAGACAATGCACAGTTTTACCCTCTGCTGTCACCCATGGCCAAAGCATATCTCTCCGTCCCACTGAGGTGGCGTTAGACTTTTTCGTTGTCCGTCATTTTGACAGATGTCCGTCATAATCCCTTATTACCCGTCGGGTCTGAACAGTTCACGAGAGAGCACGCTCGTGAACTGTCAACAGGGGGGGGGGGGGTGGTGTTATGCCATGTGTGCATGCACCTCGCGGGAGCGCGCACAGCGTAAAGCAAAACCTCCCAGACATGTGTTGATCTGAACGGCAAAGTACGGTTTGGAAACTATATCATTTCCTTTTGGAGGGCATGCATAACACGGCATAACACCAGAGCCTCGCTGCGGGGAAACGTTGGCGCTGTTCCGAGTTTGTTCTAATCTGTCAAAATGACAGACTGCTTTCAGATTTTTCCGTCATTGATAAATAAAATATTCGGTTAACGCGACCACTGCTGTCCCAGCAACATCAGTACCAAGCGAGAGAGTTTTTTCCAGAGCAGGGGATATTGTAAATGCCCAAACATCCCAGCTTATAAATACCTGGAAATGTGGCCATTCTCATATTCCTAAAAACCTGTCTGATGATGCTGAGTGAGTGACTAGTGAGTTTGAGTTGAGTTACTTGAAAAACTAAAGTGAAACTTGATGTATTTTATTGCAGGGTCTGATTATTAAATGTCCTTGTTTATTTGTGAGATGCAGTGGCACAAAGAAAAGGCCTACTTTGTTTGGTAGTACTATAGGTACAACAACACTGGTTTTCTTGTTCCAGTCTGTTACTGTCACTTTGTTTTTGACACTTTAAAATACTGCTATCCTACTAACATGCTGTACAAATCAGATGTATTATGTAATAAAGAAACATTTTCCGAGTAAAAAATGTTTTTATCGAAGAAAAAAAATTACATTTTTGTTTTGTCTTTATTATTCAATATCGCGATAAATACCGTACCGTGGACTTGTTATCGCGATATTATCGTACCATGAGTTGTTGGCATCGTTACATCCCTATACATTACAGTAACTACTTCTGGGTCTGTGTGTGTCATTCAAGCTTGGCTCTCTCTGCGTGTGTGTGTGTGTGTGTGTGTGTGTGTGTGTGTGTGTGTGTGTGTGTGTGTGTGTGTGTGTGTGTGAGAGAGACTAGGGTATTTTGTTTGAGCGAGCGAGAGTGTGAGCGGTACCGAGGTTTCTTAGCATATGGTTAGCTAGCTATGCTAACGAATATAAGGAGCTTTTTCTACAACCAGGTGGAAGAGAGCTCTCTCCTGACAGACTCAAATAACCTCAGCTCAGTGAGGTAAAGGCACACCTTTATTTGATCATTATAGTGATAAATTTTTTTGAGAATAAATGAAAAAGATATATTAAAAAAATACTATATGACAGTAAAGAAAAGTTGAAAAAAGGTCGGGAGCTACTGTGGTAATTTAACCAGGAAAAGAGAGTGGCTGAAAATGAAATGTGTCCTCTAAATAATAAAGTTCCCCCCCCCCCCCCCCCCCAACTCAAACCCAGACAGAGTCAGTATGGCATCACAAAGACAGTTTAATTCGCCCAAACCCATTCACCACCTCCAACACAAGTACGAACACAAATTATATCTGGAATAATTCTCAGGCAACTTAAAATGCAGTCTTCTTGTTAAGGCTGAATAATCCAAACGAAAGCAAAAATAATAAATCCAAAGTCACTTCACAAAAAAAGGTAATCCAGTTCAAACGAGAACACTGCCAGTTGAGGAAAAAACTCCAGAAGCAAGAAGGGACTCACCGACTGCCGAAAAGGGAAATAATATTACTTTTCACTCTGGGCCTGTGATGTCAGTCTTTGCTGGTCTGCAGGCTCTTTGGGTGTCAATGTTTCCTAAAAGCCACCATACAGTCTCCCCAACCTCCTCCTTTCAACCCCTTAAAGTTTAAACAAACAATTCCCTCTGTCTTTCTTCCCTTTGGGCCCCGCCCCCTTTTCCTCACCTGTATCCAATGCACCCCCGATTAGCACACCTGATTCCCCTCTCACTAACTGAGTGAAAGCAGGAGGGGAGAGAGAGACATCAGAACATGTCTACAGTGATGGCTCTGTCACAAAGTTGTTATTAATAAATAAGAATACAGTTTAAAGGGG